TTTCCGGATGAGGATTTCAGATGATGCTCTATTTTGCTTTCATAAAGCCTAGGTCCTATAGAAACTTCACCCCATTAAATAGGTGATGTTTTGTGTAACATCAAGGTGCATCTCAAAATCTCATTAAAATATCTATTTCGGCAGCTAAAACTCTTATCATTGCCTAAATGTCTAATTTTCACCCCTATAATGAAATTGAAAGCTTCGAAAATGGTGCAAATCTTGCATATCTATGAGCACCCGAAAATCTTAAAAATAGACGGTCTAGATGATGTGTTATAAAATGGACTAATTTTAGGACTTGAAATTCAATTTTCTTTCATATCTATATATATCGAGGTCAAGATGATCAATTCGAGAATTTTCCAATAATGAAAAAGCCTTTTTCAATGGGCTTTTGAGGTGCACCTCACTTCTACAGTTTATTAAAAGTTTATATAAGGTTGCAACCTTAAAATGTAGAATTATAGATGCACCTCAAAAATCCATCGGAAAAGGTGTTTTAATGTTGAAAAACTCTTTCATTGATCATCACGACATCGAGATGCATGAATATGAAAGGCAAGAATATTTTGAGTATCAGAAATACTTCATCTTAGAACACATTATCTAGACCGTCCATTTTTAAGATTTTTATATATTTATAGATCTACTTGATTTTAACCATTTTTGGAGTTATAAAATTTTTATAATTAGATATAAAAATAAAATTTCAGATAATCCTAAAAAACTTTTTGAGAAATTATCAACAATATACCTTAATTTTAGCCTAACTACAAAGGAAAAAACCCCAACTTTCATAAACCTCATCTACACCATTTTCCTCATTTTTGGCTTTTTGTTTTTACCAAAATAACCATCACGGTAGTCTTTTTACCGTGAAGAACATTGCGGTACTTTAAGTACCGTAATATTTAGCACATTTTATACGGTAATTTAAATACTGTAATGTTTAGCGCATTTTATATGGTAATTTTACTACCGTAATGTTTAGCGCATTTTATACAGTATTTTAACAACCGTAGTGTGCATTTATACGACACTCGAACTATTGTAATACTTTCCATAGATTATACGGTATAAAAATAACTGTAATTATTTTTCGCCCTTTTTTTGACAATTTCTTTATCAAACCTTATTTTCACGATTTCTTTAAACATTTTCTCATTTTCCTTGGCCTCATCTCTCTCTCTCTCATCCATTTTCTATCCTCTCATCTATTTATTAATCTCTAAATGATGTCTCTGAGAGCTATTTCCTAATCCATGAGCATCAAATATACACACCAACACTATTTTATAGTTATGTCATCAAAATATTATATTGTTTTTTTATAGTTACTTGATGCAGTTGGGTTGGCCATTGTAATTTTTTTAATTAAAATATTGCATAAATAAGTTTTAGATTTGTATTTATATTGTAGCATAAGTATTGCAATCTAATGTCCCTCTATAATACAACCTCCTCATTATATGTAAATATTTTGAAACTTCTCAGCAGTATTTTATATTTGTTTACATATGAAATTTCTATGCAGTGATTGAGCTTGTACGCAACAATATGCACTAGTGGCCTCTTTACAACAAAAAAACATAAAATATCATCATAAACGCTTTCGTCGTATTGACAATTTCTGACCCTACTGTGGCAACTGCAATTCTGTATTTAAGCTGCTCTTCTCCTGTCTTGTCACGCGATGACATAATTGTCATCTAGGCTCCTCTGGTTGAACTGATGTAGGGATGAGTTGTGTATTATTGGGCCCATCATCTGGTTGAGAAGGGAGCCATACTGGTAGTATGTTATCTTCCATCTCATCATCCAACTCCAATTCCTCAGATGCATCCTCATCCACTGCAGTTTTTAGGTCATAAACTTGCAACAATTCTAATGCATCCCCAACTAGGTCCCAATTTTTTGAATTGTAACCTTCATGTATATGTTGAGTTGCATGGCTGATGTCCCTAGGCTGTATCAAGTCATATGAAAATAGATTATTGAGACTTCTAAAATTAAATGTCATGAATAAAACAACAACGGTTCTCAAATATTATTACCACTCTATCTTCGTCATTATAATCTCGATGTGCGTATTTAGAGGGATGTTTCCTAAATGAATTATAGATTAGGGGTCTAGTCTTTAGCTTATACCACTTAATGTATTATTGTGTCGGCTTTCTATTGAACATATCTCATTTTCCTGACACATATAATCTAACCTATTCATCTACATATTAATTTCACTTCGAAGCTCATATGCCCAGTTGTCAATCCTCTTCCCCATTTTCTCCCTCCTCTCCCACTGCAACGGATAATCGGTAACCCTTGGTGAAGTCCTGTAAGGGATCAGTCAGTATCACTTGGTGAAGTCCAAACTGCCGGAGCACACGATCTGGCATGTATCTCTCACAAATGTGTCAACATATGAGGTATGTGCGATACAAAGCAATCTGACAGACAATAAGCCCATAATCTCTATCCTTTTTAGTTTCATTTCATATGTCAGGATAATCATCGTATGGGGTCCATAAGACCAATGACAAAAAAAAATTACATATTTTAAGTTAAATAAGCTGCACAAAAAATTAATTAAAATATAAATAAACAAAATCAATGATAATTATTCTATACTAACATCATTTATCTGCGTGTTATCAATCTCCTGTTGCCCCACAAGACCAAAGTTGTGGGAGTTATCACATTCTCTAGGAGGGGCCCACTTGAGTGATCTAGGTTGCCCTGTCCTTATTTCTTTGGGAATTGGGCGCAATAATTTGAAATGTTCGTATGCACATCACTGAAATACATGTATAAACAAATAAGAATTACAATAAAACAATATCTATCAAACTTTAAAAAAACTATCAAAACATTAATATACTAACATTACCAGCAAAACAGTGATTGATCCACTTAGGTGTTGATGGCCAAGACGAACAACTTTTGACAAGCCTCGAAACAAAAAAACTAGGGCAACTGCACCCCATGCATACTAACCAATTACTTCCATATCCTCAAAAAGATGTAAATATATTGTAGGCACCGTACCATTTTGTAGAAAAAGATTGTACAACCGATTGGATATAGGAGGTCGGCAAAGGTGTATCGTAAATGGGTGATACAGTTATAATTATGTGGTAGCTACTTAAAAGTGTTCATCAACCATGTCGGCCGGATAATAGAATAGTTACAATCAGGTGGCAGCTGTCATATCATGCAGACTATATAATTCTCGTAGTTCTCCACTTTCTTCAAAGTTGTAGCTACGCCATTTAACCAGAGAATTTTTCATGCATCTTCAAGAGTAGGCATCATCTCTCAGAGGTCTATATTGAAGTGCCCGGTGTTCGTCTCTATGTGCCACCTCTCAATAATAATAGACAATATGCTATGGTCGTGGTGAGTCATCGGTACTATGGTCAGAGGATGCAATCCTGATCTCCGGACCAAATCGATTTGATCATTGTTTGTTAAAGGCCATAAAGAAGCTGCATTGAGCTTCTCATCAACCCTGAGGGGATTTTTCCAGTCCTGAAATGAAATTTGTGATTTTAGATACTAAAATAAATAAATTGATTAACCAACATGATAGACAAAGTATATAATTTCAAACAATTGTACATACATCTCCTTCCTAGATCTTCTGTGATATTTGTTCTTTCTGTCTATTAAGCAATAGGAATCTCAAGACATCTAGGGCAGGGTGCATCTTCTGCCATGATCCCTATTCAAAAAGCCATCATAAACAACCTATCAGACATCTGATCAAAGACATTCAAAGTAAAATGACAAGATAATAAAAAAACTATTAGTCTAATAGACAACAATTTTGCATGCTTGCCCACCTGATCAATTTTTAGCCAAAATATTGTTTAACATTCAAATTTTCTTTGGGTCCAATTTAGAAGAACTACATTAATATGCAACATCTTTTAATCAACATGATTTAAAAATGCAGAACTCATTGAAGTTTACTATATCGTGATTCACATTCAAATTGGGACTCATTTAAATCGTCATATCACTCATTTCATTCAATTTATGAATTGGATGAGTTAATTGCTCTAGTGAATAAAGCTTGCATGAGTGAATTAAGTAGGTTTAATCACATTTTTTTGTGAACATCTTACTATACTCTTTTGGTACAAGTGAATCAAGTATGTTTAATCATAGTCATTACTACACAAAACGCACAATAGAGCTTAAGACTTAGGTGTAAGTATATATCCTGAATTTGGTTGTCTCAAACGATGAAGATATAAATCCCCAACCATTGCATACATGAAAGATGAACACAAGATAATTAGAATAAAGTGCAAAAAAAAAAAAACAACACAATGCTGAACAACTTCAAAGAAAAGATGATTACAATGTGGAAACAATACAATCGATCATCACACGGTAGGCTCGAAATGTGGGAAAAATAAATAATGATACAACTTCATTTATAAATTTGGAGAAACATTTCTTACCTTAAAGATATGATGAGGTGATGGAAATGAGGGAGAGAGACCCGTGAGAAATTGAGCGCCACAAATCTTGAGGTTGAGAACCGTAAAGGTTGAGAGCTCTACCACGATAGAATGCAAAAATGGCTTCAGGGTATGGTATATAGAGTGCGATAGTATTATGACATTTCGAGTGCCGTAATAAACCTCCAACTTCTTATGGTAAAAAAAAAGCCGTAAAAATAAGTTAAGTTTTACATTAATTAAATTACTTCAATTATTATGGTATTTGAATTATCATATAAAATGCTATATGTATTACAGTGAAATGACTATTGTGAAGATTATTTTGATAAAAAAAAAGCCGAAAATGAAAAAAAAAGATGTAGACGGGGTTTATAAAAGTTGAGTTTTTTTTTTCAATTAAGCTAAAGTTATCGTATGTTTGTGATAATTTTCCAATTTTTTATACCATAATTGGACAGTATGATAAAATTTGGAGGTGAGCCTTAATTGAATTGTTTAAGGTTGCAACCTCATAGAAACCGCACCCTTTACTAATTATTAATTGAGTCTTTCTTTCTACAAGTTTTGGTCCATATTCCCCATCTAAGAGTCTCCTCTAAGCTTGTCGCTGTTCATGCGATCGTCAACTCCAGTTTCCTCGATAATTCGCATACCTAACCATCTCTCTCTACAATTTCTTGGATCGAATTCGCTTCTCTCTCTATCTGCAACGAGAAATTGATCTGCAATCTTCATGGCTTCTGTGGGCAACAATAATCTGAACGCTAAGCTCGTATGTCAAAACCCTCATGCTAATTTTTTTTTTCTCATACTTTCTTGTTTTCAGTTCATTTTTATTATTGATACTTTTATTTCCTCTTGCCTCTCTTATATTATCAAAAAAATATTATTCTCTCTCTCTATAATCCAGGTTCTTCTCGGGGATATGGGTGCAGGCAAATCAAGCCTGGTCTTACGGTTCGTCAAAGGACAATTCATGGAATTCCAGGTCTTCCAGCTCAACAATTTACTTTAGGGCTTCATTTGCTCCTCTTTTTTGTTTATTTGATGTGGGGTTTCATTTTATTAGATTATTCTTCATTTTTATTTTTTGTAGGTTTTTATTTTACTGTGATTTTTTTGGTTTTCTTCTTTCCTTTTTGGGTTTTGTTGGTTTTCATTTTCTTACGCTTTTTGTGTTTTAATTTTTGGATTGGAATTGGGCCATGAATGAATGAGTCTTTGGTTTTGTTAGGAATCGACAATTGGGGCAGCGTTCTTCTCTCAAACTTTGGCTGTTAATGAAACTACTGTAAAATTTGAGATATGGGACACAGCTGGTCAGGAAAGGTATCATAGTTTGGCACCCATGTATTATAGAGGAGCTGCTGCTGCCATAATTGTCTATGATATCACTAACATGGTAAGTGATCAATATTGAATATATTTTCTCTTATTCAAGCAAACCCTATTGACTTCTTTTTGTTTAGTTTTCTTTTCTTGTTGCCAATTTCAATCACTGATTACTTCTGTAGAATTCATACTGGTGTACTATATGTATCCATCACGACGTTTAAGCAATTGTGTTTTTGCCTTTTGAAAATTGAAAAATAGTGCTTTTTAGTTTTGGATTGTTTCCTGTTATGCTGTCTATGAATTGGGGTAGGTACCACCTGAATGGGAATTTTGTTTATGAACTTTTATGAAAGTGGAGACGGGTTCTTATTCTTTGTTTTCAAGATTACAGAGATTATGATTTTGTTTTTGGTTATTGTGTTTGAGAAATTTTGGATGTCATTTTGTATGTTTGAGCAACTTTTATTATAAAAAAGATGTTTGGTTTTCATGGCTAGTTTGGTTCTGGTTCATCATGTAATTATTTGGATAACTTCGTTTCTCATACAGGATTCCTTTGCACGAGCAAAGAAATGGGTGCAAGAACTTCAAAGACAAGGTGGGTCATTTACAAAATTCTCAATCATAGTCTGCCCTCTCTCTCTTCCTGCAATAATTTTGCCAGTGTTTCTTACGAAGTGCCTATACTTCATTCTCATTGTTATTTTGAAATATAATTTTGCCAGTGTTTCTTACGAAGTGCCTATACTTCATTCTCATAGTTATTTTGAAATTCACATGCTCTTGTTGGGAATTTAGTCGCACCACAGATAGATTGAACGATTGGAGCAAGTCAAATGGATAACTAAAAAAAATTTATTCTTCCTTTTGCTCTCCGAACATCTCGGGTTATATGCTTGGTATTCTATCGGGTGCTTCAATACTGAAAATTGTTTGATTTAGTGTTCAGTAATTGAAGATTGTACAGTATAGGAGTTTCACTGTTGTATTTACAAGTATCATAATTATGAATGTTTGATTAGTGTTTTATGGGTCTCGCAACGTTTCTTTAGGTAACCCAAGCATGGTAATGGCACTTGCTGGGAATAAAGCTGATCTAGAAGAGAAAAGAAAGGTTACACCAGAGGTAAGTGGACTATTGATCAGGGAATTAAATTCTGTTGTATCTAGTGATTGACCTGTGATTTGTTTGATATATGTATCTTAGTGAAGAATTATCCTCTTTCAATGTGGAGTGTGGTGGTTTGCCATTTTTAAAGCGTTATCCATCTTTGTTTGCAAGCTAGCACTGGATGTACTTAGTTCATCTCAAGCTTTGGGCTACTCTGAAAATTTGAATGGCATGCTGCTATATTTGACTTTGTGGACAATCACCTTTGCTTGCAAGGTAGCTTTTGATGCAATATTGGACTCATGATTGGGTACTGAGATACACTTCAGTTAACTTGGCGGAACCGGCTTTGGAGTTTGATTATTTTTTACAAATTTACTAATGAAATATTGCTAGGGTCTGAAGGTTGTTGGGTTTGGTAATCAGCATAAGTAATTTTTTTGTTCAAAACCTGCCATTGTGTGTCCTTTATTGGTTGCCCTCTTGAATTGCTTTATAGTCCAGATTTTTGCATTGTTACCCTGGGCTACCTTTATGTATCCACTTGGATTACTTAGTACTTCTGGTGTCCATTTGTTGTTATTATTGCATTAAGCCGAGATTGATAGAAGAAGTGAGAGATAGAGAATCCGAGCCTTGACTGAAGATTTTGCTATTGAATTAGAATGCAAGACTCATGTATGTATTGCATGTATACTGCCTATAACAGAATGTCGTCATAGAAAATGACAAGGGGACAATGTGTAATTTTTTTTGGGGTAAGAACAAATGATTAAATTCAAATAATGATTAGTCTCCAACTGGCTTATAGTACCATAGCACATGAGCAGTGTATGACAGGAATGCCCCTGTTAACAGTTTCCTGTTTCCCTCAAATAGTTGCTGTGGAATCCCAAGAGTTTTATTTTGTCAATTGAATCACGGATTTATTGAATCGGTTACTATTCCTGAATCTGGAAAGGATATTGAAATCAATAGTCATGATATCTGATTACTTCTTACTTGGCATCCGGAATAAACTATATGATTAAAGTAAAGACAAAGCCCAAGTAGGAGAGTTGAGAAAGAGAAACTACTAATACGAGACAGTCACAACCTTACTAAATTGTCTGCCCACTGATGCTGAGAGGTGGGAGTGGAAGAGTGGACCATGCGTGTGCATGCTATTCATGATTTGAGGGACAAGCTGACAGGCAATCTCAATATACACTCAGCATTGGGTTGCATGTTATGTAGATCACATTAGTTTTTGGTGTTATTGCCATGCAAGAGAATCAAAGTATGAGGTTACTTAGAACTGGTGATCAAAAGAATTGCATGTAGTCGAAGTGCATATCATATTCTTTAACATGGTATTGGCTTTCTTGCTAGAGTGAGAGACCATGACTTGCTTTATACACTTCAGGAACTTAAGGAATGTGCCTGAAACATGCAATAACTTGTGTAGGACATCAAGTGTCAGGGCATCCAGTTGTATCTACATATTCCCTAAATTTGTGGGTGTGATAGGAAACAGAAATGAATCTTTGATATAGAGTGACCCGTTCAAAAGCATATGATTTGGGGAACTACAGTTAAGTGAAAATGGTGAGTTTCCAATAGAAACTGGCTTAATATTTGGACAGCATGAGAAATGTATTCTTGGCATGTGATGGTAAGGTAGAAGACTCCCAACTTTCTATCTATGAGAGTGGGATTATGGAGGGTGTTGCATCTATTTTGGTTTATGGAATACCCATCAAGGGGATCTCCATCGCATTGTGGTAGTTAACATTAAGCCTGGAGGGAGTGTCAGCAACTTCCTTATTTGTGACAGTATGGTCAATGAGGTAATGAGGTGTTTTTGCATGACATAGATGAAAGCCATGGGGCAAGTTAGCATCTTCAATCCCTGGAGATAGGCCACGAGTCTGAGAGCTTTAATTCAAAATTGTGTCTTGACTTCCTAAAGGTTCTTTGGATGAGGGGTTACATGAATATTGTTATCAACTGCATGCAGGTCATCAGCATATAGTAAACTCTCCTTGAGGGTCTTGTGCTTGAATTGAGAGTAGTTAATAGAACTCTGGTGATATCCTGTTTTACTTGAACAATAGAAAGTTTCTCAAACTAGACTTACAGAGGTTGTTGTTTAGACTATATTTGGGAGGCAGACAAGTCTAAAACTTGAGGATATTTAATATTTGTTTGGTTGCTATAAGGTTATAAATGTCAATATGGCCTATTGCCTATATTATGATATGATTTTTTATTACAAAGAGTAGTCATCTTTTCTGCTGAAACAAATGTATTATAATCTAGGCCAGTGCTGTGAATATGCTGATTATAACGAATGAAGTCTTAAAAGCTTTCTATCTTATAGTTTCTCATTTGCGGCCAAATTGTTTTATTTTTATTTTTTTCCTATCTTATGGCTTCTCAATTCTCTTTCCTGATTTTAATTTGTTATTTTTGGAGATATGCAGCCAAACTGTGTTTTCCTTTGATAGATGCGGAACTAGATCCCAAGGACCATTGTTTTACTGTGCTTGCTGTCCCTCATGCACTGAAGCCTTTTTTTGTAGTCCCTTATGCATTGCAGCCCTTAACCATTTACTTGAGAAGCATCTGTATGAATTAAGGTAAAAATTGGTACCTATGGTGGCCCTGTATGTGGTATAAGTTGATTCTTGAGGACACAAAAGAGATTAAGAAACTGCAGATATATGCGCTGTAAGGATAGGTTGATTCTCATAAGAAACTCTATCTAGGAGAGAGGAGGTCTGTAATGGGATGTACTTTGGTGTTGTGTGATAATCCAATGGGAAAAGTGAAATGAAACATGTATATGGTTGGAATTCCACACCAAATGATGAAGTGTGTGACCTTATAGATGAGAAATCCAGATAGCATGAAAAAAATGGGTGCAGTGGTTGGTGATGGGGACTGGGGAGTTCACTGTAGGGGCGAAGTCTCATAAAGTGCCTTATAGGAACTCAACATGATGAGAAATTCGAAGAGACAGGGTCATAACACCAAACAGTGTATCTTTATTTCCCCTGACGGTTAATACCTTTTTCTGTTCGCCATGTCTAAGAAGAATCCGTTTAGAAGAGCTAGCAAATGATCTACCCATTTAATGAGAGGGAACAAAACACAGCAACCGCCATCTTTCCCTCCAAGAGTCCATATTTTTTTGAAGATGCAAGGATAAGAGAGGTTTCCCAAAGTAGAAATAGCCATTCTGTTGTAGATAAATAGCTATTAGTGCAATTTCTCTCCAAAGAAATATTGAACATGGAATTCAGAAATTAAGGTGTTTATTTATGGTACCAAAATTATGACAATGAGTTACAAATTGTTTTGCTTGTCAAAAAAGAATCCTAATATAATGATTGTTGCTTTCAACATTTGGTGGGTTGATGGGGTGGGGAGGAGGGTGGTGTAATAACATGGCTGCTGGTGGATAATACCCTTTTCAGTTTAGAAAATCTTGAAATACATGGAAGTGTGATCTTCTGGTGAGTTTGGATAGAGAATTTTACTCTTCGTTGAATGGATTTTCTACTAGTGTAAAATGCCTGAAGCTTTTAAAAATATGTCTAAAGTGAAGGAAATAAACCCTCACATGATGAGAACAACCATTAATGAAAGTAAAAGGGTATAATGTACTTCCTTTAGTGGCTATTGGCGATAGCATCTAAACATTCATTTGAATAACATCAAATAATATCAAATGGATTCGTGGCTTTACTATCACTTGAGGTAAAGGGGGAGGGTGTTATGTTTTGCCAGTTAAAAACACTTATAAAATATACTGACACTGTGGTTGTGAATTTGAGAACTACTGGATACCACCTCGAAGTTCATCGCAGCCAGAAGTTTATTATAATATGGAGGCCTAAGATGGGATTTCCACTAAGAACTATAATGGAAGATATACTTAGATGGTGGGAGATCCCTTCCTCAAGTGTGCAAGAGGTAGATTAGGGGTTTTGGAATGACACTATTCCTCATAAAAGAGGCATCCATCTTTACATCCTTCTGGCCTTTCTCATATTACCCTCCTTGCACAAGAAATCCTTGGATAGATGCAGATACATGGAACAGTAGAAGGAATAGAAGAGGTTGTGGGAGAATGCCAGTATTTAGGAGGATAGTGTAATAAGTGGCTGGGGAACAAGGTTTTGGGAGTGGGATTAGTCATGTATTATTGGGTTTGTATTGCCAGCCTTATTCTGAGGTTAATACAACTAAGGCAGGATTAGATGCTATAGAGGAATAAGGTAAGGGAAAATAATCAAATTGTTATAAATGTAAAATGAAACCTAGTTATCAAGACGAATGAGATAAATGAAAGATACATGAAAGAGACTTACATCAAACAGATATTAGAATTTAGAACCATTAGTATTCTTTGAGAAATAGATCCAAATACTTGGAGTTAGGTTGAAAACTTGACCTATTTTCTAGTTTCTTTTCTTTAATGTTATTTCTTCATCTCTTCTGATCTCCTTGATTATAGATAAGTGAGGAGATAATAGGTCGATCACTGGCTTCTAGCGTAGCCATTGGTGGGGGTGAATGGTTACGAGCTACTAGGTCTAGAAGGAGGGTGTGATAGAGATGTTTTAAGGTATAGGTTCCTAGTCAGGGGCTCCTTTTCCATGGGAAGTTTGATATCATAATTTTGGAATTGTAGGAGACCCCTTGGAATAGCTCCATTTTTTAATTTACAGGGTGTTGGCTTGCAGAAGATGTCCATTTTTCAGAGGCTTTCACTGACTGGACTAGCAAGCAAGAAAAGTTTTCATATTTGACGATTAGTGATGGCTTTAGTATGTTTTCCATGACAAGTGGTGGGGATGGTGAATGTATTTATGAATTATGAAACTTAGGGTGCATTTAAGCAAATATGGACTAACATTAAAAATAACCAAAAAGCAGACTTGTGAAAGGTTTAGTAAGTGTGAAAGATTGACATTTGATTATATATTCCACTATAAAAAGAAGGTTAAGTAAGTGTGAAAGATTGACTTTTGATTATATATTCCATTATAAAGAAAAGGTTAGGGGTCCACTGCTTGCAATTTTCGATTTAGATCATGTATCATTAAGTACCTAAAGAAATGGTCAGTGGTTAATCAAGATGAAGTGAATGGCAAGAGAGGGAACCCGTGGAACTTATCTAGAAGATGATTGATAAGATATGATTTCACCTAAAGGATCTGAGAATGATAAATGTGAGGAGTGGGAAAGTGGAGATGACCATAACTGTATGTATGTTTGTTGTAGTCAATTTTGGGTTATATTATAATTCTCTTAGTTTAATTTTGTGGGGCATTATTTTTCATTTCATATGGTGCATAAATATCATCTATGCATGCCTGTAAAATTATAGTGTTGTTATTTTCCAATTGATTTAATTTCTGAACCAAGTGGTGTGCTCTTTACCTGCGAATTCAGTCATGGTGACTTTTTATGTCTACTTTGCAGGAAGCCAAATCGTATGCTGAGGAGAATGGGCTTTTCTTCATGGAAACCTCTGCTAAGACTGCTATTAATGTGAATGACATATTTTATGAAATAGGTAGCCCTCTACTTCTATAACATGCGAATCACTAATTTAGAGCAATCAGCAGGGATCTTGTACCCCCCCGCCCCCCACCCCCCACNCACACAACACACACACACACACACACACACTACACTACACACTACACACACACACACACACTCACACTCACTCTCACTCTACTCACTCTACTCACTCATCTCTACTACTA